GCAATAATAGCCCGCTTTGCAACACCTCTGGCTGGACGCTGCTTTGAGGAAATGAGAACCTTATTTTCAACATTCTTCTTTTAAAGGAGAGGAAACACCCATCTCTTGCATTCAAAACATCTCAGTATCTGGTATCTGCTTTGGTCCACAGCAGGCAAAATATGTCCTCTAAGGATTTTCTAGATCCTAAAGTGCAATTCTGGAGTGCCCAGTGGCGCAGTGAATTAAAGCGCTGAGCTGCTGAACTTGCTGATCGAAAGGTTGGCGGTTTGAATCCAGGGAGTGGGGGTGAGCTCCCGCTGTTAGCCCCAGCTTCTGCCAACCTAGCAGTTTGAAAATATTTAAGTGTTTTAGGTTTTTTCAGGCTATCCTGCCCCTGTTGCCACTCGCTGATCGCCATGGGACTTTGGTTGGTTTGTTTTTATTTTCTTTGGAAGACGCCTGTGCGTGAGTTTTTTTAATGTGTGGAGGTCAGTGCACAACTGATCAACACACAGTCTTCACAGAGTGAGGTCCCACTGGTGATGTAGTTTAACACAATGACCGTGGCTTCTCAGTCTGTTGCAGCCTTCTTCCGCCTTCACAGCCGTTGTAACATGTGCCATGTTATCCTCCTCCTGCTCCGCTGTTGAGGTCTTTGGGTCTTCGGACTGTGCTTGGTCTGGAACATCCCCCGCGGCCACTCCTGGGAGTTCACGACTCCAGTTGTTGTGCCTACAGGTCCTCCGCCATCAACTCCGCTGGACCGGCCACGTTGTCTGGATGCCCAACCACCGTCTCCCAAAGCAGTTGCTCTACTCCGAACTCAAGAACAGAATGTTGGTGGACAGGAAAAGAGATTGAAAGATGGGCTCAAAGCCAACCTTAAAAACTCTGGCATAGACACTGAGAACTGGGAAGCCCTGGCCCTTGACCGCTCCAGCTGGAGGTCAGCTGTGACCAGCAGTGCTGCAGAATTTGAAGAGGCATGAATGGAGGGCGAAAGGGAGAAGCGTGCCAAGAGGAAGGCGTCAAGCCAACCCCGACCGAGACCGCCTTCCACCTGGAAACCAATGCCCTCACTGCGGAAGAAGATGCAGAGCAAGAATAGGGCTCCACAACCACATACGGACCCACAAGAATACTGGAAGACAATCATCCTCGGAAAACGAGGGATCGCCTAAGTAAGTAAGTTTCAGGCTATGTGGCCATGTTCTAGAGGCATTCTCTCCTGACGTTTCGCCTGCATCTATGGCAAGCATCCTCAGAGGCAGTGAGGATGCTTGCCATAGATGCAGGCAAAACGTCAGGAGAGAATGCCTCTAGAACATGGCCATATAGCCCGAAAAAACCTACAACAACCCTGTGAGTAGATCAATAGGAAGGTAACAATACTCCATGCAGTCATGCTGGCCACATGACCTTGGAGGTGTCTACGGACAATGCCGGCTCTTCGACTTAGAAATGGAGATGAGCACCACCCCCAAGAGTCGGACACGACTGGACTTAATGTCAGGGAGAAACCTTTACCTTTTACACACACATCACTTTCCTTACTAGAAACAGAACCTCGGAGGATGCCTGTCACAGATGCAGGCGAAACATCAGAAGGGAATGCTACTGGAACATGACCAAACAGGGGAACACATTTGCCTATGCCTTGTGCAATTCTAAGGGACCGCAGTGGCACAAAGGGTTAAACTAGTGGTTCCCAACCTTTTTTTGACCAGGGACCACTTAACAAGGGACCACTTTGACCAGAGACCAATCTCTAACATTAGTACCAATAGGACTACAAATCAGTTTTTGGTCAACTTTAGATTCTGGGTTGTTGTAGGTTTTTCAGGCTGTCTGGCCATGTTCTAGAAGCATTCTCTCCTGACGTTTCGCCTGCATCTGTGGCAGGCATCCTCAGAGGTTGTGAGGAGGCATCCTCAGAGTTTGTGACCTCACAACCTCCAAGGATGCCTGCCACAGATGCAGGTGAAACAACAAGAAAGAATGCTTCTAGAACATGGCCAGACAGCCCGAAAAACCTACAACAACCAGTGATTCTGGCCATGAAAGCCTTTGATAACTTTAGATTCAGTTTGGGGTTTTGGGGTGCCGATTCAGAAAATTGCACTGGATAGACCACATCAGCTCTAGTTTCTGATACAACACATATGCCATCTAGTAGTCGCAATCTGCTTGCCCACAGAAAATCGTATTTAAAAAGCCTCATCACTATAAGAGAGTTTGGTGAGACCAGTCACATTCGTTGCAACTCCCACAATTCCTAACAGTCCAAAACACTTGGAGGGCCGAGGTTTGCCCATGCCTGCTCTAGATGCTTGCCACTGCTGCATTCCTCTTAGGCCGAGAGAGTGTGACTTCCCTGTGGATGAATGATGATCCAAACCTGGGTTGCTGTGAGCTTTTTGGGCTGTAAGGCCATGTTGAAGTAGCATTCTCTCCAGATGTTTCACCTCCATCTGTGGCAAGCATCCTCAGAGGTTTGTTGAGAGGTCTGTTGGAAATGAGGTAAGTGGTGTGTGTGTGTGTGTGTGTACACGTGTGTATGCGTGCCGGTGGAATAATGTCCAGGGTTGGAGAAAGAACCCCTGTCTATTTCAAGCAAGTGTGAATGTTGCAATTAGCAAGCTTGAATAGCATTGAGTAGCCATGAAGCTGCAAAGCCTGGCTGTTGCTGCCTGGGGGCATCCTCTGTTTGGGAGGTGTTAACTGGCACTTGATTACTTGCAGTCTGGAGTTCCCCTGATTCTGAATGGTGTTCTTTATTTACTTTCTTGATTCTGGTGTTTTTTCCTGACATTTCACCTGCATTTATGGCAGGCATCCTCAAAGGTTGTGAGGTCTCTGAGGATGCTTGCCACAGATGCAGGCGAAATGTCAGGAGAGCGTGCTTCTGGAACATACAGCCCAAAAAACTTACAGCAACCCAACCTTTGAGGATGCCTCCAGGCAACAACAACTCTCAAGACTCTCATGGATTCACTTTGCAAACCTCATGGCTACTTCAATGCTAATTCAAACTTGCTAATTGCAACATTCAGACTTGCTTCAAACAGACAAGGGTTCTTTCTTCAAACCTGGACATTACACAGATATATACACCCCACTTGCTTCATTTCCTGCAGACCTCTGAACAAACTTCTGAGGATGCCTCCAGGCAACAACAGCCAGGCTACCACTATGCAGAGACCCTCACTGGATGACTTTGCATACTTCATGGCTACTCCAAGGCTAATTCAAGATTGCTAACTGCAACATTCACAATTGTTTCAGACAGAGAAGAGTTCTTTCTCTCACCATGAACATTACACAGATATATACAGTATGTATGTATGTATGTGTGTATGTATACACACACATATATATAGCCCACTTGCTGCCTCATTTCCTACAGACCTCTGAACAAACCTCCGAGGATGCCTCCAGGCAACAACAGCCAGGCTGCCTCTATGCAGAGACCCTCACTCATTGACTTTGCAAACCTCATGGCTACCCCAATGCTAATTCAAGCTTGCTAATTGCAACATTCACAATTGTTTCAGACAGACAAGAATTCTTTCTCCCACCATGGACATTACACACACACACAAACATATAGCCTCATTTCCAAAAGTTCATTTCTGAACAAACCTCTCAGGATGCCTCCAGGCAACAAAGGCCAGGCTACCTCTATGCAGAGACCCTCACTGGTTGACTTTGCAAACTTCATGGCTACCCCAATGCTAATTCAAGCTTGCTAATTGCAACATTCACACTTGCTTCAAACAGACAAGGGTTCTTTCTCCCACCCTGGACATTATGCCACAGGTATAATGTCATGTTGATGCTCAAGTGGAGCATGAACATGTGCCCAGAGCTTGAGATGTGCCAGAAGAGAATCCTGCCATACACACACACACCCACACCACTTGCCTCACTAGAAACCAAACCTCTGATGATGCCTGTCACAGATGTAGGTGAAACACCAGGCAACAACAGCCAGGATACCATTATGCAGAGACCCTCGTGAATTGACTTTGCAAACTTCAAGGCTACGCCAATGCTAATTCAACCTTGCTAATTGCAACATTCACACTTGCTTCAAACAGAAAAGGGTTCTTTCTCCCACCCTGGACATTATACCACAGGTATAATGTCATGTTTCGGGGAGTGGCGTGAGCTTCAGCTGTCAGCCCTAGCTTCTGCCAACCTAGCAGTTCGAAAACATGTTAATGTGAGTAGATCACTAGTTACTGCTCCAGCGGGAAGGTAACGGCGCTCCATGCAGTCATGCCAATGGCCACATGACCTTGGGGGTGTCTATGGACAACGCCGGCTCTTGGGCTTAGAAATGGAAGATGAGCACCACATCCCAGAGTCAGGAATGACTGGACTTAACAGTCCTAGCTTCTGCCAACCTAGCAGTTCGAAAACACGCACATGTGAGTAGATCACTAAGTACCGCTCCGGCGGGAAGGTAACGGCGCTCCATGCAGTCATGACGGCCACATGACCTAGGAGGTGTCTATGGACGACGCCGGCTCTTGGGCTTAGAAATGGAGATGAGCACCACACCCCAGAGTCAGGGGACAACCTTTACCTTTTACCCACACACCACTTTCCTTCCTAGGAACAGAACCTCTGAGGATGCCTGCCACAGATGCAGGCGAAACGTCAGGAGGGAATGCTACCGGAACATGACCAAACAGCCCAAAAAACACACAGCATCCCAGTGATTCTGGCCATGAAAGCCTTCAATAATTGGAAACCCTGTTCCCGCAGGTTCCCACCCTCCAACCCCATAAGACCCCTCTGGCTGGGAAACAGGTTAGGCAACGAGCCTCTCCATGCCACCCCTTTGTTTACTTTCAGGGGAGAAGGAGGTCAAAGGTCTCCTTTGGTGTCCTGAGATGCCCTCCCTCCCCAGGCCAAAGCAAAGGAAGAGGAGAGAGTAGCAAAGCAAGGAGACAGAAGAGCCCAAAAGTATCAAAGAAGCCTAAGAGAAGCAGAAAGGCATTGGAGATTACCATGGGGAGGGCTGGGGAGGGAGGCAAGGGGGGCTCAGGGACCCCTCCCCACCTCCCTACAGCCTTGGAGACGGTCACCTTCTCTTTCGGCCACTTTCTCTTTCGGCCACTTTCTCTTTCGACTCCTTTGAGGAAGAGTTTGGAAGGGATTTCTGGAGGTGCTCCTCTTCTTTCCAAAGTCCAACAAGTCCCCTTCCAGCCCCTTTTGTCCCCTTGTTTTTGCAAAAAGTGGGGAAAGAAGGAGCTCTCTTTCTGCTCTCTGGCTGGGAAGGGGAGGGATGGAGGGAAGGAGGGAGTGGAAAGAAGGGAAGCCAAGAAAGAAAGAGAAGGAGGGAAGGGGCTGGGTGAGGGGGGGAAAGAGGGAGGCTGCCTGGTCTTCCAAAGGCCACCCTCCCTCCTCCCCTCCTCTGCAGACACACTGCACGCCTGTCCTGCCTGCAAGACTTCCCTCCACAGTGCCAGGACTGCCAGGGAACAGCAGCCCTCTTTGTGCGGGCAAGCCCTGCCCCTTGGCTTTGCCCACAGAAGGGCGGGTGAGGGCCGGCAAAGCCAAGCCAAGGGCATCGGGGTCCTTGGCCCCCTTTCCCACCCCTATTGGACCCGGCTCTGGGGTCTCTGTACCCGCTTCTTTGCTTCCCTTCCTTGCTTGGCTTCTTCCTTTTCTCTCCTTGCTGAGCAAAGGTCTTGCCAGCCCCAGCTGGGTTTCATTGGGGGGCAAAGCAGGGGGGCTGCCTGGCTTCCTTTGGAAACCTATGACGGCATTTTTGGAAAAGACGGAGCATAGTGTCTATTTATTTATTTATTTCAGAGTTTTCTATAGCGAGCTTCTCACCTCTTAGAGCAGGGGTCCTCAAACTAAGGCCCGGGGGCCGGATACGGCCCTCCAAGGTCATTTACCCGGCCCTCACTCAGGGTCAACCTAAGTCTGAAATGACTTGAAAGCACACAACAACAACAATCCTTCGACAATACAACAACAATCCTATCTCAAAAGCAGGTCCACATTTCCCACTTAAATACTAATAAGTTTATATTTGTTAAAATTGTCCTTTATTTTGATTATTGTATTGTACTTACCTGGCAGACTGTAGCCAGGAAATCAGAAGACGCTTACTTCTTGGGAGGAGAGCAATGTCCAATCTCGATAAAATAGTAAAGAGTAGAGACATCAGACTGGCAACAAAGATCCGCCTAGTCAAAGCCATGGTATTCCCTGTAGTAACCTACGGATGTGAGAGCTGGACCTTAGGGAAGGCTGAGCGAAGAAAGATCGATGCTTTTGAACTGTGGTGTTGGAGGAAAGTGCTGAGAGTGCCTTGGACTGCGAGAAGATCCAACCAGTCCATCCTCCAGGAAATAAAGCCCGACTGCTCATTGGAGGGAAGGATACTAGAGACAAAGTTGAAGTACTTTGGCCACATCATGAGGAGACAGTAAAGCCTAGAGAAGACAATTATGCTGGGGAAAGTGGAAGGCAAAAGGAAGAGGGGCCGACCAAGGGCAAGATGGATGGATGGCATCCTTGAAGTGACTGGACTGACCTTGAAGGAGCTGGGGGTGGTAACGGCCGACAGGGAGCTCTGGCGTGGGCTGGTCCATGAGGTCACGAAGAGTCGGAGACGACTGAACGAATGAACAACAACAACTTACCTGGCAGGGGAGACACCATGATCACGAAGGTGGTTTTCCCAGGGTGAGGCTCATCCATTGCCCTCCGGGTGTGCTTACCCCTGCGATTTCCCCAAATGCTGGAAACTCGACTGCATAATTTGTGGTTGTGGTATTGTTTTTAAGTGTTTCTTGCAGTGTGCATAGGAATTTATTAATGTTTTTTTTCTTCAAATTATAATCCGGCCCTCCAGCAGTTTGAAGGACTGTGACCTGGCCCTCTGTTTAAAAAGTTTGAGGACCCCTGACTTAAACTATTAATATTTTAAAATGTAAACCAGGGATCCTTAAATTAAGGCCGGGAGGCCGGATACAGCCCTCCAAGCTCATTTACCTGGCCCTGGCTCAGGGTCAACCTAAGTCTGAAACGACTTGAAAGCACACAACAACAACAACAACAATCCTATCTCATCAGCCAAAAGCAGGTCCACACTTCCCACTGAAATTCAAATAGGTTTATACTTGTTAAAATTGTTCTTCATTTCAATTATTGTATTGTTTTTAAATGTTTTTGCACTACAAATAAGATATGTGCAATGTGCATAGGAATTCATTCATTTTTTTTTCCTTCAAATTATATTCTGGCCCTCCAACAGTTTGAGGGACTGTGACCTGGCCCTCGGTTTAAAAAGTTTGAGGACCCCTGTCTTAGAGGGACTCAGCCCAGTTTACAACCATAAAAACATACAATCAGTAAAATATCATAGTTCATAATTACAATAACACATTTAAAATAACAACTATATTTAAAACTACGGTGGTCAGTCATCATATTAAAAACAAGTATACCTCATCTTCCATCCACAATCCTAGGGTGCTGTCTCATTCATCGAAAGCCTGTCTCCACAACCACATCTTCACCCGTTTCCTGAATGTCAGGATAGACGGGGCGGTTCTGACCTCCGGTGGGAGAGAGTTCCAGAGTCGCGGGGCCACCACCGAGAAGGCCCTGTCCCTCGTCCCCACCAGGCGCGCTTGTGAGGCCAGTGGGACCAAGAGCAGGGCCTCTCCAGACGATCTTAGTAATCTTGATGGTACGTAGGGGAGAATACGTTCGGAGAGGTCTAGATCTAGGGAAGTCATGCTCCCCATGCTCTATTCTGCCTTGGTTAGACCAACCTGGAATATTCTGGGCACCACAATTGAAGAGAGATGTTGATAAGCTGGAATGTGTCCAGAGGAGGCCGACTAAAATAATCAAAGGTCTGGAGAACAAACCCTATGAGGAGCGGCTTAAAGAGCTGGGCATATTTAGCCTGAAGAAGCAAAGGTTGAGAGGAGATATGATCAGGAAAAATGAAATGCAAAGATACAGAATGGGGGACGATGCCTGGCTCAAGAGCAGTACGTGTGAAAAAGATCTTGGAGTCCTCGTGGACAACAAGTTAAACATGAGCCAACAATGTGATGTGGCGGCAAAAAAAGCCAATGGGATTTTGGCCTGCATCAAGAGGAGCCTAGTGTCTAGATCTAGGGAAGTCCTGCTCCCCATGCTCTATTCCACCTTGGTTAGGCCACAACTGGAATATTGTGTCCAATTTTGGTCACCACAATTCAAGAGAGATATTGACAAGCTGGAATGTGTCCAGAGGAGGACGACTAAAATGATCAAGGGTCTGGAGAAGAAGCCCTATGAGGAGCGGCTTAAAGAGCTGGGCATCTTTAGCCTGAAGAAGTGAAGGTTGAGAGGAGATATGATCAGGGCCATGTATCAAGATGTGAGGGGAAGTCATAGGGAGGAGGGAGCAAGCTTGTTTTCTCCTTCCCTGGAGACTAGGACGCAATGGAGAAATGGCTTCAAACTACAAGAGAGGAGATTCCATCTGAACATGAGGAAGAACTTCCTGACTGTGAGAGCTGTTCAGCAGTGGAACTCTCTGCCCCGGAGTGTGGTGGAGGCTCTGGGAGCTCTGGCCTGGGCTGGTCCAGGAGGTCACCAAGAGTCAGAAGCGACTGAACAAATAAACAACAACAAGGGGTAAAATGGCATGCCTTTAATAATGTGGCAAAATCAAGGTTTGCTTTTTGGAGCAATATTTTCAAGCTGTGGATGGTACAATCAATTGATGCAGAATCTGATGACTTCGCACATGGGCAAGGAAGGCTTTCCCTGCACACTTTATATCTATACGGCAGGATTCCCTTCTGGTACATCTCAAGTTCTGGGCGCATGTTCATGCTCCATTTTGGTGACATGCTGGCTCTGTGCAAATGTTCAGGACTCCATTATGTAAACAAAAAAAAAGCAAATCTAGCCATCTTGGCTCTTGAGAAGGATGCATTTTAAGGGATTTCAAGAGCATGTTTACAAAGCAATTGCAGCTGGTTGGACTCTCCCAGCAATTCCGCCCATTATCATAGACAGACTTGCACAACTTATAGTTAATGTTATAGTTTGTTGTTGTTATTGCATGCCTTCATGTTGCTTTCAACTTATGATGACCCTAAGGAAACTCTATCATGGGGGCAAGATTTGTTCAGAGGAAGTTTGTCCTTGCCCTCCCCTCAGGCTGAGAGAGTGTCACTTTCCCCCCAAAGCTATGCAATAGGTTTCCATTGCCAAGTTGGGATTTGAACTCTGGTCTCCAAGGCCCTATCTACACTGCAATGACAACAACAACAACAACAACAACAACAACATTTTCTGTATAGGCTATTTCTAAATCTAGATTATCTGCTTTGAACTAGAGGTAGCCTGATCACCATCATGTAAATAATAAATAAATAAATAAATAAATGTCAGACTACAAAGAGAAGCCATTGAAATCTACAAGCACATGGACAATTTCAACAGAAAAGAGGAAACCACGTAAATGAACAAAACCTGGTTACCAATATTAAAAAGTATCAGAATTAAGACAGTAAATAAGGAACACCACTCAGAAACAGGGGAAACTCCAGACAGCAAACAATCAAGTGACAGTTAACACTTCCCAAACAGAGGATGTCTCCAGGCAACAACAGCCAGGCTACCTCTATGCGGATTTTGTTGTTCATTCATTCAGTCGTTTCCGACTCTTCATGACCTCATGGACCAGCCCATGCCAGAGCTCCCAGTTGGCCGTCACCACCCCCAGCTCCTTCAAGGTCAAGCCAGTCACTTCAAGGATACCATCCATCCACCTTGCCCTTGGTCGGCCCCACTTCCTTTTTCCTTCCATTTTCCCCAGCATTATCTTCTCCAAGCTTTCCTGTCTTCTCATTATGTGGCCAAAGTACTTCATTTTGCCTCTAATGTCCTTCCCTCCAATGAGCAGCCGGACTTTATTTCCTGGCGTGGTGTGTGCCATAATCTTGGGGGTTTTTTATGTTTAATTGCAACCCAGCTTTTGCACTTTCTTCTTTCACCTTGATTAGAAGGCTCCTCAGCTCCTCCTCTTTGGCCATCAAAGTGGTATCATCTGCATATTTAAGGTTGTTAATGTTTCTTCCAGCAATTTTAACCCCAGCCTTGCATTCATCAAGCCCTGCACATTGCATGATGTGTTCTGCATACAAGCTGAATAGGTTGGGTGAGAGCATACAACCCTGTCACACTCCTTTCCCAATCTTGAACCAGTCTGTTGTTCCATGGTCAGTTCTGATTGTTCCTGCTTGGTCATTGCACAGATTCTTCAGGAGAGAGACAAGGTGGCTTGGTCTCCCGATACATCCCACCAAGACCTTGCCACCATTTATTATGCTCCACACAGTCAAAGGCTTTAGAATAGTCAATATAACAGAAATAGATGTTTTCCTGAAACTCCCTGCCTTTCTCCATTATCCAGCATCCGGA